GCGTCTTATTCAATCAGATTTGCTGTTGAGAGTCTGTAAGCGCAAAAAATGCATATGATTTGATATGTGTCGTGCAGAACCTTGTCTGTTTGTATGAGGTGCTGAGTGGCATCCGTGAATATTGCTTTGTAAGTGAAATATTTGCTGAGTGATATATATCAGTCATGCACTTTGCTATACAGTTAAATTTGAATTTGTACTGAAGCTTATAATGTGTGGGCTACTAGCCGCACGTTAGAAAAGGAAGACATTTTTATCATAAGAGAATATAAAACGCATCAAGTTAGTATCTTACAAAATACACTTAATCTGATATATGTATTCTTCAAAAGTTTAGGAGGCTCTCGAACCTGCTCCTTGTAGAAGCGCACAAACTCATTATCTTGGTGTTGGTCAACGTAGACTCCGAGGGCCAAACTTTCTCTGTGCAAAGCGATTGGCAACCACTTTGCGCTTGGAAGCAATTGTAGTCATTTTCACTAATGAGTCAATGTAGGACTGAACTCTGCGAGGTGGAACATGCGATATTGTAATGCTTGTCATGCTTGTTTTAAGGGCAGAATGACCAGCTTGGCAAGCTTTTGTCTATACTCGTTCTCAAAGGGACACTTGGTGGCGCCTACAGCTTTGAAAATCCGCTGAGATGGCACATTCAGGAAAGTCCTCACCGGGTGGTGATGGAGATTTAGGTGTGGACTAATGTGATACTGCTGTTGGTAAGCGTTTTACCCTTCAAGAGCCATGAAAAACAATACATTTCTTTTTTTTTCTGGATGAGGGAAGTCGAGTTGGCAAAGGATTTGGCCTTTATTCTTAGCGCATCGCGTATGCGAGCTACAAGAAAAAAAGAATCGCTGCTAAAACACTTGATAAACCCCTGGAGGAGGTAAAAATTATGAAGGGTCTCCAAAGGGTGTGGTACACCAAGATTCTTCCTCTTTTAAGGGAGCGATGGACGCCACATTTAGTGCGACGCACAGCGAGAGTAAAATAAAATGCTGGGAATGTAAGCTCTAAAAGTTCAGCCGAACCTACTGCCATGCTGAGGAAGGCGAGAGTAATTACTTTGAGCAGCTCCACAGTACCCGTGAATGATTATTTGCGGTCATACTGACTATCGCACATTTTTATCTGCGGTATTAAAATATAGCGCCTTGCGTGTGTTCTCAGCAAAGCAATAGGAATGGTTGAAGCTCCAGACAAGGTTAGACAACGATCCCCTCATTGATAATGTCAACTCCCAGTAGGACTCCCTGCGCCTTGGGTTTTATTGTACCGCATTTAGGTATTGGTCAAAGGGACCCAGCTCTGAAAGTAGCGACTTCCTTGGGATGGTGTGGCTGGCAGTCTATAAATTTTGGCTGATAAGTCATATAACGTTCGGATAGTATAAAAATATTGTGCAATTATAAACGACAAAACTGCAAACAGAACGTAGTGGTCTTCAAGACGTCAAATACTGCTATAATATCCTTGGGTCTTGCGACTAGAACACTGACAACGATCACGAAGGTTCTGCGTGAACTTTGAGGACTTTGATAGAGTAAATGTTACCTCAATCTGAACTTAGCTTGTGACATGATCGCATATTAGATATGGCCTGGTTTATCATACAATAT